TTGACAACGAGAAAAACCCTGAAACATCAGTCAAATTCAATGTAACCGTGGAAAAAAATTGAAAAATTTTTAACGTGCGTGCTGGATATATATATATGTCAAACAGTAAGCCTACTATCTACTATCTATTCATAAGGGAGAAATGGATTGGCTGTCTGATTTTAGAGAAGAAGAAAAACCTGAATTAAGACTGCGTATCTTAGACAGTTTAATCTTCGGAAATTTTGACATTGATTGGCTGAATGAATATTATATACGACCTAAATTAGAAGGGAGTATTTTAGACCAATTACTCGAATATATAGATCTAAATAAACTAGATAAAGAATCTACTATTAAATCTTGGAGAATACGACATGGATTGGGTGAAGATGAGGATATATGGTATGGTTATAAGTTTAGGAATTCAAAGCCTGTTAAGTATATTGTTAAACCAGATACATATGACTGGAAAAAAACTAGAGGAGATGATACGCCGTGGTCTACCACCTGGTGTCATAATCATTTCATTCCATGGTGTATTCCATGTAATGCTCCCAAGGCATTTTGTTCCTGTTTCGATAATCCTTATTCATTATCAAGTCAGTGTACAATTTGTCTTTTACACAAAGAAAATTTATCAGGTTAAGTAAGTTTTTTTTCTATCTATGTTCTTTTAATTAAAGTTGATTTATTTAATAATAATGTTGTATCACTTCCCAAATATTTATAACCTATCAATGGCTTCGATTATAACTAATTTTAAAAGAATTTTAATCACAGATAATTCATTCAATTTTAGTTTTTTCAATAAACCTCGAAAAATGATGTACCCCATGTTATTATAAGGAAAAAAAAGAAAGTAATTCGTATAATAAATTTTATTTTTAATTAATAATACACATACTCTAATTTCGTACCAGAACACCTTAAAGTAATAAATGGTAGTATTATTAACCACTTTACGGGATTGGATAAAAGCAGCAGAGGAGAGGAGTTTGAAGAAGAAGAAGGAGGAGGAGGAGGAGGATATAATGTTATACGTTTTAAACAATCGTTGTCTAGGCTATAAACAAACGATAAAAATGATACAGCCTCCTTCATTGATATGGGATTAATAGAATAACATGGAGAAGGAGGGGTAATACAAATGTATTTTTGAAGAATTTTAGGTCTAATTGTTAGTAGGATTGATTCTAGTTGTCGAAGACTAGAATATCCTCGCCTCTGGGGATCACTCGTTAAAGTTATTTTAGTCCTTTCTTCTTCAATATGAAAAATTACATATAATAAAATACACTGTCTCCCAGAAGACCTCCACCAACATTGATTTTTAGGAATATTTAACGAAGAAACAGTTTCTAAAAAGCTAGGCCAGATATCAGATATATCTATTTTAGGTATGAGGGAAGTTTTACAGGCGCTAAAATTATATACATAATAACCCATCGACCTGTATTTTTCATATAAACTAAACCGCTCATCTTCTAAATATTTTTCAATTAATCATTCTATGTATAGACCATCACCACCTTTCCTTTTTACTTGTTTATTTTGTCTTTGAATATTATATTCAATTAATATCGCCTGTATTAAACAATTAATTATCTGACCTATATCAGAAATAATACCCTCTGATCTGTCTATTGAATGAAGCTGAGGATTGAAATTTGTTAGTGGACACATTCGAACACTCTTTCTGGGAAGTTGTTTAAATGGAATAAGAGGTATCAAATTGTAGTAGGACACGTGTGTGCCTGCTTCAGCTGTCAATATACCCGGCTGAATTGTTTCTATAAAAATACCAAAACAATAATGAACGCTTGTTGTTGATTTATAAGTGTGGAGGGGACGTAGCTTTATACTGCGTATAAATTTCTCTTCTTCTTCAGTATCACTTTTATTTTTCATTATTATATTAGTAAACCATTTCTCAGTAATGGTTAATATTTTTTCGGGTACATTAATATTGTGATCGCGTAAAAGAATTAATATATTCTGTATTAATTGCATTTTATCTGTGTGGTTCCTCACATTCATCTTTTTCTTAAATCCACTAATTTTACATTTATCCTCCTGTTTGTCTTTTTCTTGAATAGCCATATAACGTTTCTTACTTATCATGACGAGAACTCCGTATGACTCTTCATACGCCAACTATAAATAACGAATATTATCGTTATCCTTTCTTAAATTATCATTATAGAGTGAAGCTATAAATGGACCATCACCAACAGTACGGGGTAATGATAGAAACAGAGAGTCGGTATCACCGTATAAAATTGTAGCTCCCTCGCTCTCAAAGAAATTACGCGCCTTATTTAAATGAGAGCGCCCATATCCTGTTACCATCGATGGAACTATTGCATCTTCAAATATTCCTTGGGATGCCATGGCACCATAAAGAGAATTAACCATGACCTTACATGCATTAGCCTGAGTAATTAAAGATTTAGATTTCAATATTTTACGTGTTTTAATTAAACTTTCGCATATACGGCGAAAAGGAGACTCGGTATATGGTTGGTCATTGCGTACCTTCAAGCTTAGGTAAATAAAATAGGGATCTTCGGCCATCTCAAGTACATTAAAAAGATCTCGTTCATGCGAAGTTAAACACATAAATGTTTCGCGGGAAATACGAGTCACAAAACCCCGACACAAATTATAATCTATAATAATACTAGGATATAACGAGGCAAAATCTAACACGTGAATACTTGTCGTGGGAGTACTTTTATGAACACCCACAATTGGATCCAAAACAACCGCACCTTTGTATGTATTTTTTTTACCAGTATTCATATGTTGTTGTTGCGTAAATGTATGTCTTGCATATTTATGAGTCATGTCAAGACCAATTTCTCCCCATAATCCATTGTGTTGTCTTTTCTTAAAAGCAGGTATATTATTAAAATCAATGGGGGCAGTTAAAATTGAATTACAACTATTTATAACAAACCGACGCACGATATATGTTGTGTTTATATGTAGACATTGATGAGGATCTGTATCCGCTTTTTGAGATAAGTTACAAGTAATTCTCACTAGATTCAAGGGTCCATTTATTTGAGTTACTAAATCTACATCTATAGAACTGTAATACATTAAAGTATCAAAATCCTTTTCATAAATATTAATCTTATTATTTTCTTCGAATGCCTTATACATTTTATTAATTATTAAAATATCAAAATTAACTTTGCCACGTCCTAAAATAGCTTCAGCGCACGCATTGAGACTATCTGATGCTGGCTCTATAAATTTACCGCTTGGAAAAAATCGCTTTCTACACAGCATAGTATCAATACTTAATATCCATGGAGGTGTTAAATGGGGTGTCAGAGAGGAGTTACAATAAGATTGAAATGTAAAATAATCAGTCATAATGTAATCCGGTAATAGTTTATTTAGATCTATATATTCGAGTAATTGGTCTAAGATACTCCCTTTTAATTTAGGTCGTATATAATATTTATTCAGCCAATCAATGTCAAAATTTCTGAAGATTAAACGGTCTAAGATACGCAGTCTTAATTCAGGTTTTTCTTCTTCTCTAAAATCAGACAGCTAATCCATTTCTCCCTCATGAATAGATAGTAGATAGTAGGCTTACTGTTTGACATATATCCAGCATGCACGTAAAAAATTTTCAATTTTTTTCCACGGTTACAGTGAATTTGACTGAAGTTTCAGAGGTTTTCCCGTTGTCAATACCCTTGGCCCACATATTGCAAGTAATTTCAACTGTGGTGTTAATTTCATCTTTAAGAATCAGCTGCAATGCAACTATAGGTTTCCTATAGCCTGGTAGGTTTGTATTGGAGAAGAAGGATTTGGGGAAACCAGGACCGTAGTAGGAGTGAATTCCAATGAATGTGCAAGACACCCATATAACCTCTTGCATGGTATTATTTTCTTCGAAGTAGATTTGTTTAATTTTGTCTTTAATTAGTTTGGGCATCTGGTTGGGTAATTCATTAATGTCATCGTAAGGATCAAATTTAGTTGTTCTATTTGTTTTCCCATTGTAAGACAATATGATGCAAGGAGATGTTGTGTTGTAGTTCCAAACATTTTCTGGATTACATTCATGTCCCAGTATTTTCTCTGGCAAAATACAGACTTGTGTAGCATTTGGTTCAACTCCTGGGGGACATTTAATCACCTGTGTATCATCAGCTTTGGTAGCATTGTTGTAGTAGTCTATAAAAAATTGATTTAGAGAAGATATTTCCTCTTCATACGTGCTCTTCTGATTAGGATTAAACTTTATATTTCCTGAAGGTATGACAAACAAACCCTCTTTCTCTGCTGTCACAGCAGAGTTACATGTTACAAAAGTCACCACCACCACTATTAGACATACAACTATGAAACAACCACCACCACTTATTACAATTGTTGCTTTTTTGTTTGAAGATATTTTCTCTTTAAGGTATAGATAACTTTTCCTCGGAGTTTCACTTGGTACTGTTATCATATTTCTAGACATGTTACCTTACCAAAACATCTTCTTCCTTTCTTCCTTTTAGTCGTCCAGATTGATATAGCCAGCCTAAATGTCAAAGTGTGTCTGTCCAGTCATATCGTTGTACTTTCTTTATATATAATGGTGGTGGGTGGGTTGGACAGACAGACAGACAGACAGACAGACAGACAGACAACTACCTGCCTCGGCCTCAAAAATAAAAATTAAAAATAAAATTTATTATACAAATATATATAATCCCGATTTCTTACTTCTCGAATTACTTTCTTTTTTTTCCTTATAACAACATGGGGGTACATCATTTTTCGAAGTTTATTGAAAAAACTAAAATTGAATTATCTGTGGACAAAAAAGAACATTTAATTACAAATTTAGGAAATATCTTTTCATCCATTAATAATTTACAAGTGATAGGTATTGATGGGTCAATGTTTTTTCATGCCTATGCTGTACCTAATGATAATGATAATAAATTATTGCCACAAACAGTTGTTGATATTGAGAAAGCGAGTCATAAAGTCTGTAATATTATACTTAATTATATAAAAGTCATTATACATATTTTAAATAGTGGAGATTATTCTAATAATAATAGTAATAAAACAATTATTTTATATTTTGTTATGGATGGTCATTCGAATGTTGAAAAAAATAGGAAATTGTGTAGTGAGAATAGAGATATTTTTTCAAAAATGACAATATCCCAAAAATTGGAATTGGAAAATTATACAACTGATTTATTAAAAAATATATATTTAAATAAAATAAATACATCATCTTACAACTTTAAATTGTATTCAACAGCTGGAATATCTTATTATGAAAGACTCGAAGGAGAAATTGCTCTCTATCGGTTTATTAATAAAACATTTATTGAAAATGAAATTTATAATAGTTTTTCTGTAATTATAAGTGGTGATTCTGATGTTACTGCTATGACTATTTTACGGAATGAATATAGACTCTTACTCATCCACCCTTCCTTCGGTACTAATAATAGAAAATCAATTGGTTTAGGAAATTATAATTCAATGATAAAACATATGGGGTTCAATAGTGATCAATGTCTCCGATATTTAATTTTACATTTCACATTTTTTGGTAATGACTATAATGTTGGTTTAATTTCCTGTTGGACACCATCTAAAGGAGAAATTATTTTAAAATCTATAATGGAAAATGAAAATAATATTTTGAGTATATATAAAATTTTTTGGAGAAATCGATCTTTAGGTGATGAGTCTGTTATAATTCAAGTATTTGGATGTACTGATGTAATTAAAGAACACCATTTTAATGTTCTTTTAAAATTAGTTATAATCGAAGCCATTGATAGTATAAAATATTATAAATATTTGGGAAGTGATACAAAAACAACATTATTATTATATAAATCAACTTTAATTAAAAGCTTACTAAAATATATGAGAATATAATATTTTTATTTTTTTGAAACAAAACTTACTTAAAAAACTGAGAGACAAATTGTACTGACTTGATAATGAATAAGGATTATTGAAACAGAAACAGGAACAAAATGCCTTTGAGTAGGCTTACTGTTTGACATATATATCCAGCACGCACGTTAAAAAAATTTCAATTTTTTTTCTACGGTTACAGTGAATTTGACTGATGTTTCAGGGTTTTTCTCGTTGTCAATACCCTTGGCCCACATATTGCAAGTAATTTCAACTGTGGTGTTAATTTCATTGCAAAGAAACAGATTCAATGCAACTATAGGTTTCCGATAGCCTGGTAGGTTTGTATTGAAGAAGAAGAATTTGGGGAAACCAGGAGCGTAGTAGGAGTACATTCTACCGAATGTGCAAGACACCCATATAACCTCTGGCATGGTATTATTATAGAAGTACCATTCTTCTTTAATTAGGTCTTTAAGTAGATTGGGCATCTGGCTGGGTAATTCCTTAATGTCATCGTAAGGATCAAATTTAGTTGTTGTTGTATTTGTTTTCCCATTGTAGACAATATAATGCAAGGAGATGTTGTGTTGTAGTTCCAAACATTTTCTGGATTACATTCATGTTAGTAGTGCTCTGGCAAAATACAGACTTGTGTAGCATTTGGTTCAAATCCTAGGGGACATGCAATCACCTGTGTATCATCAGCTTTGTAGTAGTCTATAAAAAATTGATTTAGAGAAGATATTTCCTCTTCATACGTGCTCTTCTGATTAGGATTAAACTTTATATTTCCTGAAGGTATGACAAACAAACCCTCTTTCTCTGCTGTCACAGCAGAGTTACATGTTACAAAAGTCACCACCACCACTATTAGACATACAACTATGAAACAACCACCACTTATTACAATTGTTGCTTTTTGGTTTGAAGATATTTTCTCTTTAAGGTATAGATAACTTTTCTAAGGAGTTTCTCTTGGTACTGTTATCATATTTCTATACATGTTACCGTACCGAAACATCTTCTTCCTTTCTTCCTTTTAGTCCAGATTGATACAGATAGGATTCCTAAATGTCAAAGTGTGTCTGTCCGGTTATATCGTTGTGCTCTTCTTTATATATAATGGTGGTGGGTGGGTTGGACAGATGGAAGGACAGACAGACAGACAGACAGACAACTACCTGTCTCGCCTCGGCCTCGAATGTCCGGTCATATCGTTGTGCTTAAAATAAATAATCTAAAAATTAAAATTATATTTTTTGTCAGTCGAAGTCGGTCGGTCGATTTGTCTGTCCTATCCCATAATTTTTTAGAACCCTGCCTGTCGTATATATATTATATATATAATTAATAAAAAATGGATGGAAATATTATATATTATAACATTTGCACTAGCATTAGCTATTATTATAATAATAATGATAACTGAAAAACCTCTTTCTTTTTCTTTTCCACAATTACTCGAAGAAAAAAGTGAGGATTTAATAAGATATCTTACATATATTGACAATTTGATATCAGATATATCGGATAAAATTACAGAAGGAACAGATTATGATATAATGATTACTGGTCTATGTAATATAAGTGAAAAAATTAATAAATTTTTAACTATAACAGACTCAACCATAATAGAAAATGTTAAATCATATTTAAGTTTATCTGATAAAATCAGTGATTTACAAAAAAGATTATTAATGAGCATATTTAAAATACAAACACTTGGCGTATTGTACGAATTGAATGAAAAAGCCCTAACTAAAGAAACAAAAAACAGAATTCAGTCTAGCTTATTGTATATAAATAATTTTAATATTATAATACCAGATTTAAATATAGCTGATGTATTATTAAGACGAGATAAACGTTTTTGTATAATGCAAATACTCCAAAAAGTATATAGATTAAAGGGAATAACAATAGAAAATTTAATTATAAATAATGAGAATGAGAGAAAAAAAGTATTTAAGATATTCCGTACTTATTTACCTGCTAGGGGATACAATAGGTTATATAATACATTTAGAAAATACAATGGATTAAAAAATGAAATTACATTTGATGATGACCAAATCAAAAACTTAAGCAGTAATATGTCTGCTTCACAAAAACTTATTGAATTGGTAGATACTACATTGTCCATTATAAAGAGTGTTGAATTGTTGAATAATGATGATAATATGGTATTATTTAATGATAAAGAGATACCTTCAATAAATAATTGTAAGGAAGAAATATTCCAACATTTTTTAAATATAGACTACAAAGAGAAACTGATAGAGTGGTTATCTTCAAATTCTCACGAGGAAATAAAAAAGTGGCATAATTCTAAATAAAATATAGAAAAGTGGTATAATGAATACTAAGCAGCAGGCAGCCAAAGGATAAAGGATACACACTACTATTGTGGTGGTGGTGGACTCCATTTTAAAAAGTTATTTAAATTTTTCTCCATATCTATATTTTGAGTAACGCACTTTGTTTTTCTTATTGTATTACTAAAATTATTTACGTGACTTTGAATCCATTGTTTAGCTTCTTGGGTTTTGAAATCAATCTGTTTATTTTCGTACATTATAGTAACATTAATTCCATTATCAAATTCCCAAATAATGTTTTCGGGTAAAGCAAAACTCAATAGTAATGCCTGTGCTTTCAATAGTGATATATTTCTAGCATTACGTAAAATATTATGTTCTTCTTCTCTGTTTGTAATGTGATTAGTTTTTATTAAATTTGTATATATTTTATCGTAATCAATTGAAAAGCTTCTTATTAAACTGAGAGTTAAACGATTAATTTGACTATTTAGACGGGTACAGGAAAGATTTTTTGGGGAAATACGCTTATTGGTGGTATTGGTGTAAAATCGTCTATGGTCAGAGCATAACAGGTCTGTCACATTTGGTCGAATTTCATTTGAATAAAAATTCATAACATTTAATTTTTTATCAAATCCAATAATAAAGTTTTTGGAAATTAACTGACATACATTATTGTAACTTCTACAGAAAATGCTGTTTCTCTTTTTTAATTGTAAAGTTTTAATGTTCTTATATAAAGACGACATTTCCCAAGTATCCAAATAATTCACTTCTAAATTAATCTCCTCCCCAAAACCGAAAATGGAAGTATTTTTTATATTGCAAACTATAAGCGATCGTAAATTGGACAGTTGACGTAGTATTTTATTGTCACCGTACACCCAAGCACAAATAATATCATATTTATAAGTTAATTTTTCAATATCAGAATTGAACTCCCTTATACTATTTTCATATTCATCACTAGAAGCCGTCGCTGGTATAGAATAGTGCAACTCATCATCGTCGTCGTTTACAATGTTAAAATTTTTATCAACAATTGCAACAGATGCCTCTGTTAATATATGATTCACAGACAAAATGTCATTGTCTCTGTCTCTATTAATTTTTTATTATAATTTATAGAAATTACCATGTAATAATTATAATTATTTGTTGTACTAATACTAGAATTAGAATTAGTTGTTATTGACATGTTGTTTTCACTTTCATAAACCTCCTCATCAAATAAACTCATTGTAGCTATTTTGTATATAAT